TGATGTACAGGAACATTTCCCAGCTATTCTTCCAAAGAAGATAAGATATAAGATGACCTTTATTGTCATTTTTTTTACTATAAGCACACTGGGCCATATTAAAAATGAACCCTTTCTATACCCACTTGCCTGTGAAGAAATCCCTCTCTGCTAGTTGCCAGTCTGCCCCTGAGCTAGATTCAAGGTAGTGGCACTTACATGCAAATCTTTAAATAGTATAGAACCATATCATTTCAGAAAAATCTCCACTCTGATAAAAGACCATAACCTTCTCTTTGCTGCCATCTAGCAGTCAATCAGGATTTTGCAACCTAAATATGTGAAATGTAATTTTAAGAGTCTCTTTTAAAAAAAAACAAAAAACCTTTTTCTTTTCCTTTTTCAGTCACAAAGTCCTGTTAGTCTTTCTGATTAAATTTATTGTGGTTCTTATGTTATTTATTTAAAGCTTTTACATATCCACTCATTTTATGACAAACTCGTGCTTTATTCTTTTAAAATCTGTTTTTAATTGTCTTTTTTCTTTGGAATTTATGATTGCTATATGTAAATACTGGAATTGTCTATAAACATGCCTCAGTACAAGAATACATTTTATAAAGGCAAAACAAAGGCTATTCTAAAATGGTTTTCAACCTTTTCTATCTGTAGTTTATTTATTTGTATTTTGTGTTTCTAAACTGCCCATCTCCTTCAAAGAGGAGGCCCGGGCGGTGTAAATATAATATCTGGTAAATAATACAATGTATAAAAATTAACATTAAAATTAATGTTAATGATGAAAATAAAAAGCTATTTTTTTTTCAAGAAAGGCACCTATAAGCCATTATATTATTAACATTTCAGTGATCTATCCTGTGTCCCACTTAGATTATTTCTGAACTCCATGTGGATTCCAAGAAAACATTTAAAATTCTTCAGATCTATCTTGGCCTGAAGATTGAAAGATAAGACTGGTAATGCTAGCACATTGACTTTAAGGGAAGTTTCTTCCCATTATTAATCTTTTCATCAGTTTCTGGAAAAATTAAGGATAGCTCCCTCAAAGGCACGACTTTAGATTGATGGAACTATAGATACTCAAATATTATACGGGGAGCAAACTTTAGTGTTATTTCCCCCTACCCTCCAAGCAAGGCATATTTGCCATGTGCCCTATTACAGGTAATCCTCGACTTACAACAGTCCGTTAAGTGACCATTGGAAGTTACAACAGCATTGAAAAATGTTACTAATAACAATTTTTCACACTTACGACCATTGTGGCATTGCCCATAGTCGTGTGATCAAAATTAACATGTCTGACATCTGACTCATATTTATGACAGTTGCAGTGTTCCTGTGGGGTCTTGTGGATCCCCTTTTGTGACCTTCTGACAAGCACAGTCAATAGGGAAACCAAATTCACTTAACAACATGTTACTAATTTAACAACTACGGTGATTCACTTAATAACTCTGGCACAAAAGGTCATATAATGGGGCAAAATTCACTTTACAAATGTATCACTTAAGAACAGAAATGTTGGGCTCAATTGTGGTAAGTTGAAGACCACCTGTATATAAATTGTCTGTGTGTAGTAGGATGTGAGAACGAGCCCAGAAATCTGACACTGTTTACTAAGTCACTAAGTGGGAGGTGAACTCACATTCTTAGTAGGACAGAACGGGCTAAATTTTGGGGTAGAGGATATGCTTTTGTTTTTTTATCATATACTGCACAAGTCAAAAAGAGGGTGTGAAAATATTTACAGACCCCTCACATCCCGGACATAAACTGTTTCAACTCCTACCCTCAAAACGACGCTATAGAGAATTGCACACCAGAACAACTAGACACAAGGACAGTTTTTTCCCAAAAGCCATCACTCTGCTAAACAAATAATTCCCTCAACACTGTCCAACTATTTATAAAGTCTGCACTACTATTAATCCTCACATCCTTCCTTTCACCCATCTCCTCCTACTTAAGACTGTATGACTGTAATCTTGTTGCTTGTATCCTAACAATTTTTATTGACTATTTCCTAGTATGATTTGATTGGTTATTGTACCCTATGTTGTACCTTATGATTCTTGACGAATGTATCTTTTCTTTTATGTACACTGAGAGCATATGCACCAAGAGAAATTCCTTGTATTGCCAATCACACTTGGCCAATAAAGAATTCTATTCTAGTCTAACTCCAAGGCTGCTAGGGTATGGCAATAATAAGATTGAAGAATTTTCAGTTTTTCCTCTGCAGGCCTTTTTGGTAAAATAGATGCATTACATTTACTGGGAGCTTAGTACATCAATTTTGCTTCTTTTTTAATCCAAGAAACTCAAAATGTTTACTTAAGACCTTCTCCAAGCAGTTTGAATGGTTCTTCATATCCAATGTACTACCTATATCTTTGGGGAGAAAAGTGACAGTTATCAATCCTTGCTTAGGACATTTAATGCATGTACATGCATACAAATCTATGAATCCTTGGCTGGGGATATGAAGAGTGCTCAGAAGCAGTGCTTTTTTATTGCTGCTCTGATATTGTGAAATAAGTTTTCATCTGAGATATAGAATTATAGATTGGTAAATGTCATAAAACTGCTCAAAAATTGGCTGTTCTGACAAGGTTTTAGAAATGAACACCAGTGCCACTATTAATTTGATTGTGTGTATTAACTGATTTTATTTATTGGTGATACGATTTTAGTGAGAGTTTAACATATTTTTGATTATATTGTGAATCATTTAGAGTTTAACTTTGGCAGGAGTCAACTACACCAAAAAACAATTTAGTAGCTGGGAAAATCTAGGCATACATCTTTGAATAAGGCGGAGTGTTACAGAATCTCCTGTCAGTTCCATTGCAGTGATGACTATATGAATTCATGATCTCATTGCTGACTTACATAAAATTTAATGGGTAGCATGTTCCAGTATACATGTATGTGAGTGTGGGGGCACTGCACAGTTACCATCCCTATCTATTGAGTCATGTAGAAATGACAAATAGCAACTAAAATTTCATAAGTCAGAGATGCAGAGAAAGAAATCCAGTTACATGAGAGCTAACTTGGAGATAAAAATGGGGAATATGATTCCTTTTACTGTATAGCATTTGGATGGAGTTGTTATGTATTTTACCAGGTCAAGTAAAAATTTTGCCAGGCTAGTAAGATAGTTTATACAGCCTTCCATAATTCATTGTCCTACAGCTGCCTGATGAATGCTGAGAACTGTAGTCTAACGCTACAGGGAAGTTTAACCTTGATCACTGAGGAAAGGTTTTTTAAAAAACATTTTCTCACTCATATGTCTTATTTTAAAAATGTTCATATAAATTTAGCCCTTTTATCAATAAAATATGGTGTTGATTTTTAAATAAATGTTTTGGCTGTACTGTTTTTTGCAAGATTTTAGGAGTTTAAAATATGATCTTGCTTTTGTAGACCATCATTTATTTTTGTGTTACATTGAGGAAAAAATGATTATATGTTGTTTTTGTTCTCAGATACTGTAGATTTGTAAAATAAAAGAAGTATCATGAAATATGTACTCATAACACATACACTATGTTGAATTATACAGGTGCCAAATGATTTGGTGTGATGTCTAGTTACTACCTGTAAACCTGATACCAAACTATTTTGGATATTTTATCCACCTTACACAGAAAAACCTAAACTAGAAAAACATCATATGTTTTCATCCAGCTTTCACAATATGAAAAAAGGGCTTCAGATAAAGATTGGCATTCTTATTTGAAACAGAAATGTATTCCATCATTTCAGTGAGACCTTGATCATAGTGTAAATGGCAGTGTTTATTCACAACCCACTCTTTGCACAGATGGATCCTTAGTTTGGCATGTAGATCTCTTTTGGTGGATAATATAATTATTCTTTCTGAGAATGCCTACTATGAAAGAAAGCTGTTACGTACAGTACAATGGTGTGCCAGTAAATGTAAAACGACCAGTTCTGATCCATTGCTGCCACTTCCACATCTTCCTAGCCACCAAACAGCTGATCCGTATGACTTGCAAAAGTCCATAAATTGTAACAATTGGCATTCATGAACCAGTATGGGCTGGCTTCAGTATATCACAGTGTATATACAGCACTTGTCCTTGTCGAGATTCACAGTCCAGGATTTCCTGATATGTATTTCTGTAACACCAAGGACTTGCTATTTTCTTATCTCCTTTCAGAAAGATTTTTCCCATAGAGTTGCTCATGAAATACAGTTCTGTGATAATATGGTCCATCATGCTGAAGGCCAATGTAACATAGTGGCTAAGGGGCTGAATTTGGGCTGGTGACAGATTTGAGTTCTCAAATACTTGAAGGTCCCTGGATATCTGAACATATCTTTTTCTCAGCCTATGGTGTAGGATTGTTATGTGGAGGAGGAAAAACCACCATGTGAGTTAAGATAAGCTCTTGGGGAAAAAACTGAGTGTTAAAAAAAAACATAATTATGAGATAATATATTACCAAAGCTAACACAGGCTGCCTATTTCCTTTCTAACCATGCATTTTTGAAGGTTTTTACTGGGTGGAGATAAAAGATTTAAAAAAAGGAAGAGGCTTAAAATATTCATTTCCTCTTTGAAATCCTTCTAATACCTCCAGAACCGCAGGGCTTCGTGCCACCCATTTTTATGCTCTCAAGGTGACAATATGCCCTCAAGGTGACAATAGTAAATTTAGAGGGCACTGCAATATGCCCACCATGCAGAATTGTACTCAAAAAGTTAGTGTAGAGGTATTTCAGGAACCAAATGTAAATTCTGCCCGAATACTCTAGCTGAATAACTCATGGCTGGCTTAGAACTATCTGGAACGGCTCTATGATTTGAAGACATAACATAGAAAAATAGATTAGAAGGGGAGGGATAGACAGGAAGAAATGCATTTTTTTTCCCCTGACTGGATAAAATAAAACAACTGAACAGCTAAAATGGCTGAACTGAACCATAGTTTTAATACAGTTTCTATTTTTTGTTTTCTAGCTCATTGTGGAAACTGAAGAATTAGCACTTCTTAACCAATCACTCTGAAGCTTTGATTCTTCCCTGGGGCCTCTCAAGTTTTCTTTTTTGGATAATTTCTTTCTGCAAGGTGAGGTTTTTTTCCCCCCAGTTCAGCCATGACGACCTCTGCCTTGCGTCGACAAGTGAAAAACATTGTGCACAATTATTCTGAAGCAGAAATCAAGGTGCGTGAGGCCACCTCCAATGACCCCTGGGGACCCCCCAGCTCTTTAATGTCTGAGATTGCTGACTTGACCTTCAACACAGTGGCTTTTGCAGAGGTCATGGGTATGATCTGGAGGCGGCTGAATGACAGTGGCAAGAACTGGCGTCATGTCTACAAGGCCCTGACTCTTCTGGACTACCTCATTAAAACAGGCTCAGAGAAGGTGGCTCATCAGTGCCGGGAGAATCTGTATACCATTCAGACTTTAAAGGAGTTCCAGTACATAGACCGTGATGGTAAAGATCAAGGCATCAATGTTCGTGAAAAGGTGAAGCAGGTGATGAGCCTGCTGAAAGATGAAGATAGACTGAAGCAGGAGAGAGCCTACGCCCTGAAAACCAAAGAGCGGATGTCCGTTGAAGGGATGGGCATTAGCAGCAGCAATAGTAACAGCCACCAGCTTGCCTATGGCCGGCGGGCATCGCAGTATGGCGATGACTACAGCAGATCAAGAGGTTCTCCGTCCTCCTTTAATTGTGAGTACCGCAATGGTATGTGGCTGTGCCACCTTTTCTCTGGTAGATCAAGTCATCTTTGCCAAAGGAAACTTGAAAACATATAATCTAATTTGTGGATGCTTTCAGGGGGACTAGTGATCCTGTAATAAAGTTCGTAGACACCTTGACCAACAGTTGCAATACACTGCAATGTAAAGATGTAAGTGTATGTTTTTGGAGGCAATTGTTTGCAACACTGCCTGAAATGTTTCCAAATTTCTACCATTTATCGCAATGGAGCTTGAGAAATGAAACTTGGCAAGTACTAAGTAATATTTGGGGGTCAAAAATTGCTGATAGTAGGTATGGGCACAGATTCAAAAGGCCCATGGATAGAAACTGTTCCAAGTATGTAGTTTTTCTTTATTCCTTGACATTTCCCCCAATATCTTTTATGAAACTACAGCCAAACCTTCCTTGTTTCTGCCATCCTTAAGCAAAATTTTTACAGGTCTTTGCATAGCTTTTACAACCTTGATATGAAGTATAGTTTCATTCCGTTGAATGCAATTAAAGAATCCTAGATAAATCCTAATAGGTTGGACTCCCTAATCCTGTAGGGGTATGTTTAGCTGAACAAAATTATGTATATTTCCACTTGAAATATTTCTGGATCACATGGAGACTATAAGATTGAAAAGGGAAGCACCATGGTGTACAGCCCTAACATGTTGCATTTTTGAAAGCTTTCAGAGGACTAAATCGTAAGAAGGATACGTGGCTATCTAGGTAGTATTTAACTAAGAATCCCGGTTACTCGTGGTAACTGCATTTGCTGAGAATTCTATATATTAGGGCAGTGATGATGACCCTTTTGGGCTCAGGGTGACAAAAATTTAGAAAATGCTAAATTTCACACTTTCTTGAACAAAGTAGAAGGATCTCCTATCCCCCACCACACCTAGCCCACCATAAACGGCAGCACTTGGAAGAAGGACTGATGCTGGGCCTGAAATAAAGACCTGGGCCATGACTTTGGTCCTTGCAATACCGTTGCTGCCACTCAAAAAGCCATTCCCCAAGAGGCCATTGCCCCTGCAACCTTGCACTCCCCAGGGTCTGCCCTGTACTGCTTACCTTCAGGGCAGTGTTCTCTTTCTGTTCACAGGCTCCCGTGGCCTACCTGAGACACACAAGGCTTTTATTCTTCACGTGACTTTGAAGAATGCTCTTCTACACCCTATGAAAACTGTTCTTGCATGATTTTCAGAGGTTGCTCGACATCCAGAAACTCTGGAGGCTGGGTGAGAGCACGCCCCATTCTTGGGCAGCCTCCACAGCCTCTGAAAATCATGTGAGAATGGGCCATGCTTTTGGGAATAGTTGTCAGGTGTTGGTAAACACTGGCATGTCACCCAAAATGTCATGGCGTGTTACCTTTGACAGGTGTCATAGGTTTGCCATCACAAATTTGGTGTGCATGTGTCACAGATTCCCCTTCCCTAAGGATGGAGATAAAACAGGAGAGTTAGGGAAATGAAACAAAATTGGGTGGAAATTCTATGTTCTGTCTTAAAAGGCACTTCTTACAAGACACTGAAATTAAAGAAAAAGAGCTATTAAATTAATATCACAACTCATGGGTATCACATACAGCCGCGTGAATATTTTCATATTCTTCTTACTGGCAAATGTTGAGCATATATACTCTTCAGAGCATATAAATCACATTTGTTTTGTCGTCCCCTGTTCTATTATCTACATTATCTGTCAATTCCTGCAAAGAACTGCTTTTTAAGAATGTTATATATTATGAAATGGATCTTTTAGCTGTGATATATGTTCCAGTGGCCAATAAAGCTTAATTCATATAATCAGCTTCTCTCCCCCAGTAAATGATATAATAATGAAATAGGAGTGGATGGTATATTTAGGCATTAAGAAATGGATAAAAAAAATAAAAAAAAACTGTGTGGGAAACAGATCAGCTCCCCAGACTTTTATTTCTGTCTTCTTGTCACTCTGTCTCTGTTTCCTTTTTGTTTTTTTCCAGTACTTTACAGTGTTATTAATTGAAAAGTAAACAAGACATTCGGAACAGTGAATTTGAGCAGATGCTGATATAGTCATAAAATAAGCAAGGGGCATATTCATCTTGCAGGACTGCAATTGTTGAAATTTTGCAAGCTAAGTAGAAAGCTTGCAAAAATTTTAATTTTTTTGAAAAGCTCATTGTTTCTGTATATAATTCTACCATGCCTCCTGTAGAGAATTATGGATATTGAAATGTCTTAAGTTCCTAGATTCCTTGAGTGGTAGTAACTAACAACATTTTTTTTTCTTTAGAAGTCATTGTGAATATATTCAATGAGGCTTCTGAGGTAAAAGTCCATGACTAGAAGAAAGCCCTTAGAAGTGGGGTTGCCATCTGAATAAACTAACAGAGAATTGCATTTTAATTCTATGACTTTGATGTGGATGTGGATGTGGATGGGGGGGGGGGGAATAGCACTATCAGCATGCCAGATGTTGAGAGAAAAACCACCCTATGAGCCTAGGAGAACACATTTTTAGGCGTATGGCCTTAAATCCTACACACTCAGAGTGTCTGATAGAAATTTAAGAACAGCCTCATCTGTGTGGATGGGGAAAGGGGATTAGACTCTCTTAGCATTGTAACAAAGGCTTGTATCTTTTCTATGTGCCCCACAACATCACAAATATGACCCAAAGGAGTGGGGCTTGTGCTGTGACCCTATAACACTGTTGACAAAACCAGCAACATCCTGTAAATGCCACTGTTTCGAACCTTAGATCAGTACTTTTTTTGTTCTTCATGCCACACTCAACGAAAATGTTGCTATAGAAACAGAAGTGGATTGGAGTTTTCAAAATAAAACATAACTGCATAAAATTCCCAACATCAGGCGTTTTTTTGCCCACCTTATGTGGGTTAGTCATAGTCTTCAACTGTTGGACATCATATGAAATTAAAACACAGAAGGTTGGTAGGCAGAAAATGGAGACAATCATCAGTACAGAAAGAGAATATTGTAAAAAAACATATTTCGGGCAGGATGGAGGACTGCTTTTCTTTTGGGGGCAGCATTTCCTTGAAAAATTTTTTACAAATAATTCCTCCCTCCTTCTTGTGGCTTTCCATCTTTCAATCCTCTGTCTCCCACTCTTCTTTCTCTTAGTATTTTTCTCTCCATCTTTTTCTCCCTATTCAGTGAGGCAGGGATTCAGAGTGCTTATGCTAGACAACTAAAGGGTCACTGGGAGTTGGGTGGCCCGTATGTTTAATAAATTGTTATTAATAATTAACGGATAGCTTTATGTTTGTGTAGTGTATATTGGAGGTTTGTGTATGCAACAAAATTTCATTTGAATGTATGCCAATTAATGTACACTGAAGTGACAATAAAGTTATTCTATTCTAAAAAACATATATTCTTACAAGGGAAGCTAGCTTGATTCCCAATGACTATGCACCCATTTTCTAAGAAACAACTATAGAAACAACTGGACTTTCTTTTAGAGCACATTTTGGGTGGCTTTCATTCTACTTGCCCAGCTAATTGGTTTTTGTCTTCGATTTCAGCTTCTTCATCATCCCCTCGGTTCAGCTCTGACCTGGAGCAGGCGAGGCCACAGACTACTGGTGAAGAGGAACTCCAGCTCCAGCTTGCTCTGGCAATGAGCCGAGAAGAAGCAGAAAAGGTAACGGCTTTTGTTCCAAACCTGCTTCCTTAGACCCTGGCAAACACCAAGCACACTCACTAACACAAAGGTTGAGTGTGAGCTGAACAAAAAGCCAGGCACAATAAACTTGAAAATGGGAATAATGAGAAAGAATACAATGTCTTTGCTTCATTTCCCCAAGGAAGGTTTTGCTGGTTTGTTGCAACCAGGCGCAGGTGCACTTTGATAAGGAAGCAACCTTATTTATTTGTTTCTTTGTTAAATTTATTTGCCGTTTACTTCACCCAGCGGCTACTCCAGGCATCTTATGAAAATAAAAGGTACTAAAATGAAAGGCGTGTCAACAGAACCGAAGTACAATAATAGAACCATAAAATAAACAATGAAAAAGAACACAATGAGAATACCCATGTGGTGACCAAAAAGATGGACAGGTGGAGGGCAAGGAGGGGAACTAGAATCTGTCATTAATCCAGAAGCCACCTCCAGTGTGGAACTTCCCCAACTGAGTCCCCAGGCCAACTGGCAGAACCAGGCCTTCGGGCTCTTGTGCAAAGATAGGAGAGTGGGGGCAGATCTTACTTTAGAAGGTAAGATGTTCCAAAGGATGGGAGCTGCAGCAAAGAAGGCTCTTCTTCTGGATCCTGATAGTCAGAGTTCTTTGACTGACATGATCCGAAGTAGCAGGCCTTTCTTCTACTGTATAAGAAGTTCTTTTCTTGTAGAAGGAAGTATTTTGTTGTGAGTCCCGTTTATGTAGTAACAAGGTAGGACGAATAGCCTTAGGCACAGGCAAGGTATCTCCTCCTTGTTATCAATTAAAGCTAGTTCCATGTTCAGGTAGTCTTGACTTATCCCCAGTTGCTTAGCACTGTTGAAAGTTACGACTTACCTAAAAAGGGGACTGAAACAAGGGAAGTTCCAATAGTCAGCCTCCCCATGGTCACATGATTGCACCTTTGGTTCTCGGCACATGGCTGAATGTACGGCTGTTTGCAGAGTCCCACAGTCATAAGACTGCAATTTTGCTCAAAACTGGCACTTCTGGTTTGAAGCACAAATGCACCGTAGCAAGCAATGGGTTTGCTTAATGACTACAGTGTTCGCTTGACTGCAGTGCTCACACGTACAACCACCTGGTTTGTTTAACAACTGCTGCAAAAAACATTGTGAAATCACGTGACCGACCCATTTTATGACCATTATGACTTATGATCATAATGGGCTCCGTTATCATTGTTACTTGAGGTCTACCTGTCACAGAAAGTAGGGATGCAGTCACAGGAAGGTATTATAGAAGCTATTATTCCTGATTTTATTTGTATTGATTTTATGCTTTTGAGTTTTATTTGGTTGTAGCTGCCATAAATGCTGATTCAAGAAGGAAAGAGGTTGATAAATTTAATTAAATAACTAGGGTAAAATACAAGAGGAAGGCAAATTTAATTCCAATATTGGCATCTGGAAGATGTAGTAAGTGTTACACAGAACCATATAATGTAACAATTTGAAGGGATCATATAAGTCAACTCAGTGCTGAGTGCAGGATTACATTTGAAAACCTCCAGCAAGAGGAAGTCCCCTGATGATCCAGATAGACTATTCCACTGCTTAACTATTCTTAATTCCCGATTTTTTTTTCTTAAGTCCAGTGAGTCAGATGTGGTTGCTAAGCTTTGTTAAGCCCAGTGTCTTTCAGGTGTGGCCTTTGAGCATTTTGGGAAGGTAGTTGGATAGGACTGAAGGCAACAGGGCTTGAGGACAGCCAAAAAGATTGTCTCAGAACCAGGGGCATCTGGGTGGAGCGTTTGTCGGAAAAGTCAAGCTGGCATCACTTGCATAATTGAACGTCCAGCCTTTTTTGCATGCATGTGGCGGCACACATGAAGAAGGGGACAAGGCTTTATCCCATGGGTGCTTGCCATCTTGTCTTTTGGACCCTGTCCCAGGGATAACCGTATCTGGATCAACACTGAATGTGGGCAAGGCAGGCATTTCTGGGATATCACTGCCTGCAGCCTTGTTGGATTTGGGTTTTGATTTTCTTATGACTGTTCAAGGTAAGCAAAAGAATTCTAGATATCATCAAGGGGTATAAACACTTTGTTGATTTAAGTATCTTTTATCTTGTAGGCTAACACATGCAGTCACCTGGTAATAGTAGGTTTCACTGTGCCTTAAATTGATAAGATAAGCTTTTGTAGTGGCACCGTGGTCTACCTCCCTTTTGTTCTTTTATCATGAATGTCCTCTAGAGAGGCTTTTAAGAAAAATAAAGAACATATCAAGGTCTTCCTCTTTCCACTTTTTAAAATGCAATTCCCTGAAGATAAGGCATAACAATAAGTGTTCTGTGTGTAGAAGAGAAGGCTGTAGAATATGCATTTCTTTCCTTCCTCTTCCTGCATTTCTAAAAATCATTTTCAGAGAGATTATAAAGTATTATTGGTTTTATTTTATAAGATTGTAGTAGAAGCTTTGTTTAAGAGCTCCTATTATCATGTCCTTATTTCTGACAAACCCCCCACCCCCATTCCCCTGAATATATGTCATAATGTCCAGAAATTGATTGGCTCACCTCTGGAGGGATTTTGGAAGGGCCCAAGAATTGCACTTTTCCTATTTACATAATACTGGATTTCCTTTAAAAGCTGTGGTCTTGAGCACACTGGATAGCTTTGCTGATGTCAGTAGTGCACATACGTATAATTTGTATTGCATATTTCTGTATCTGTGATCTGAGATTTACATACTCAGTAGGCACTGAAATGAATTGAGATAAAATGGGACATTATTTAGTGTACTGTTTTCTTTTGTCCTGATGACATGCATGCAGGGGATTATGGGAATTAAAGCTACCATATCTGGAAGTAAGTAAGTTTGGACAGCCTGAATTGTGGGTTACTTGGTAGGATTCTGTTTGTATTTTTAAAACACTGAAGTATGCCCAGGATTTATTTCTGGCAGCTATCAAGAAGAATCCTTGGATCTTATATCTTCTTAGATTGAACATAGCTAAAACCAACACTACGCACTGGCTACTAGCTTAAATTCCTTGTTGTCCTTTATTGATGCAAGAACAGTTTCTTCTAGTCAGTTCTGGATATGTCATCTTTATGCAGCATATGGGTCATGTGTAATTTCCTCACAAGTGATTTCCATTTGTGAAGCTATGAAGATGTGGTTAGTCACTAGTAGGAAAGTGCATTTTCTTTGTTTTGTAATGTTGAAGATGAACCAAGGATGTTACGCTTCTACTCTGTCTCCTTGCAACCCACTAAACATAATATTTTCTCATTTGATTGACAGCACTTTCAGATCATGCTTCAGAAGAACTTGCATGGAGTGCATCTGCATCCTATGAGCTGTGCAGATTGTCTCCAACAGAAGTGTCTTTAGACCTAGAGAAACTGCATCTGACTGGGCTTTTTAACTTCTCTGAAAAGATTGCCAGACTGTAGCACAGTAATTGGCATCCCATGGCTTCCTATCAGCAGATCTCCTGCTCTCTTTCCAGGCAGTTAAAACATTTGCTTAGGTATACAAACACGGTTAATTCCAACTATCATTCTTGCCACAAATGGCACCAATAACATTGAATAAGAAGGAAGCTGATTAAGACCGTCCCAGTCTGGAGATTTTTGACTTGGGGCAATATTTCCCCACCTAGAGGAACTCTTCTGAAAGCCAGAACTACTTCTGAAAGTTGTTCACAAACTCATTTTTCTAAAAATTAACAGAATCCACTCTATGTCCTTGTATAACAGCCTGATAAACCAGCTCAATCTTAGTCACTTGGGGAGATTACAAGTAATCCTGACTATTTACTTTAGATTTTTGCTTCAGGTGCCAAAATATTCAAGGCCAGCTTATGATCTCCTTGAATGAGGCTTGAAAGGTTGGATGTTGTTCTTAATGTAATATCAGTCCTGAGGTATATCTGCATAGCAATATTGGTTGAATATGCCTATAATTTAAATTTTGTTTGGATGAAACCATCTTTCAGGCTACTTAAGAGTGAAACACCTTTCCATTCTATTACGTTTTAATGTTGTGTGCTAATTCCTGGTTTTAGTAAATGTGTGTGTATGTATGTGTGCGTGCGTGTGTGTGTGTGTGTGTGTGTGTGTTGCACTGGTTCACTTTACTGGTTGGTGGTTGTGAGGCAGGAGAGATTGGCTTGATGGCTTTTCCTTTCTTGGTTGCTATAAAAGTCAGTTCTTTGTTCCTTGCTGTTTACCATTTACATTAAACCACCAGAAGAGGTAATTAACCCCAAATATTTGGGGTTGTATGTTCTCCAGGCCAGACAGGAAATGCAGTTGGAGGCCTGTCCAAGTGACTGGAGGCTTGAAGGCCTGGATGGGTGAGAACCAACTTAAATGGAATCCTAGTAAAAAGGGTTGCTATTTGTCCATCTGAATTCTCTGCTTGCTCCAGTGGTGTGTCTCTTACTCTTGAAGAAGCAAGTGATGTGTGGTTCTTCTAGACTGACTGCTTCTGTTGCAGCAGCAGATGGAAGCTTTTTTTTCCAGCTACATTAATATCCAGTTGCAATCCTACCTGAGTAGGAGGATCTTGCTACAGTGACGCATGCCTTCATTACCACCCACTTAGACTACTGTAAAATGCTATATGTGGAGCAACTTTTCAAGGTCATATGCAGGGGTGGGATTCAAATTTTTTAACAACTGGTTCTGTGTGCGTGGCTTAGTTGGTGGGCATGGCTTGGTAGTCATGTGACTGGCTGGGTGTGGTCAACTCAACATCACTCACATTGAGACACTCATCTCCTCGCCTGGTCTCTCATAACTGTGGGGATGTTGCAACAATAGTGTGAAAAACGGACATGTCACTTTTTTTCAGTGCCATTGTAACTTTGAATGGTCACTCCACACAAGCAAAGTACCAGCAAAGGAAGGAAAAAAAACTCCAGAGAAGTTCCAGAGACAGGAAGTCTAGTCCTGTCAAGAATGTAATAAGGGTTAATGGAGAGGCAGTTTCTGTAAGCAACACCA